AAGGTGGCCCCTGGAATACCTCCTACTGTGGGAATGGCGGGCAGAACATAACATTCCAAGGACGACAAGAAGGGGATGAGGAGCTTCCCATTGCCTGCGTCCAGCTCGCAAGACAACCAGCGGTCACATCTCTTCAACGACCTCTTTCAATAGTAGATTTTATATTGGAATAAAATACGTTATTGCAAAAAATACTTTACAGTGGCTCCCATTGTTAAGACACCCTCATAAATAATTATAGACTTGGCTGTCACCATCAATGTAAGACTCGGTTTGAAAAGAATTTGGGGTGTTTATGTTTGTACACTTAGAATATTTCTAAGCCACTAAAAATTACCATAATTATTTCATTATTAATCTACCATTATTAGTAGATTACCATTAGTAAATAATACATCTGGTAGTATTATTTAGTTGTATTATTTCATAATCTACTAAAAAATAATCAAAACACAATAATCTTCCTGATGGCCAAGAATTTCTCTATCATGTGTACTTCCACTGTAGCCCTCACTACCCTGTCTTGTTCAAAATAAGCATTCAAAGTGTGTATTAATTTGAAATAATTATTTTTGTTTTTCCTTAGGACATTTCTACCTAATAAATACTAGGTTATACCTCTGATAATAACTCCAGAAATTATAACAAAAGTTCTAGTCCCATATTTTTTGTTTGCTAACAGATTTGTTCTTAGAAAGCAATTAATTTTGTTTGTATGAATGAAGCTATGAATTAACAACTAATTTAGCCTTATTTAAAAACTACCCTTAACTGAATTATCACAGAATTTTAAAATGCAGTTTTTCTGTATTTTTATATTTTGCCCTCACCTTTATCTTCCATTCTTTTCTCTTTCATTATATTAAAAAAGAAGTGGTATGATCCCTTTTTTCCTGAAAATGATTAACTTTTTGGGTGAGATCATAATTCACATATCCTTTCACCCTTATATTCAAAATAAGTCAAACAATTTTAAATATAAAAAGTAAAATTTCAATTATTTAAAATGCAAGTTTTCAGCTCCTTATATTAGATACACCCTGTTTAAAAACTGTCAGATGAAAAAATTTCCTTTTCAGTCTCAGAGTTACTTTTACTCAAAGAAGCAATATTTATGATATTCAGAAATTTAATACTATGTTGATTTGCTACAAGGAAGCTCCTATAAAAGGAGTTTGATGATATACTGTCCTCATTAACATTATTTGTGTGATATTCATTGAATATTTATTACTTGGGAAGATAGAAATATCTCTTGAGACCTATTACACTAATGTGATAGAAGTTACCCGATTTATGCAAAGTACTTGTTTGTTCTTATCATCTCTTGGAGAAAGAAACCCTTATTATTATGTCAGAATGCCCTGAGGTGCATGACCATTTTTAATTTTACTATGTTTATACATGAATTGTTCCTTTTCATTAGGAAATTTCAGCTGAAGATACATGAAATTTTTTGTTGAAGCGTTTAATAATCTAAAAGAAAGTTTGTAGCATAGTCAGGATGTCGTGCCTTAATCTACTTACTTATAAAAACATACTAAATAGAAATGTACTTGTTTTTAAAACTATCCCAGAAATAACTTCATGTTATAGAATATGAATGGCACCCAGTTTGAATTTATTGTTTCGTGTATCATTCTGAAAATGCAGCTCATAAATACAATCAGACAATTTAATATATTGACACACCTCTTCCTGAAGTGTGTTTCAAAGAACACTATTTAGAATATTCACTGTCTTCGCAAACACACATTAAAATGTGTCCCATTGGCAGGGAGTTTAAGAAATAGTAGATTAACCTCCAGAGAGTCTCATAGCTATTAGTGAGTTAAAATATAACATGAGTCTCCGAGACAAAATATACAACGTGCATTCCCTACATAACATTTCTGAGATACTCTTGAGCATAGACCAAAATGCTCTTTTCATGGAGAGCAGTTTCAAAAATCAGAGTTCTAAGGAATATTATTTTGGGAAACATACAATACAGTGGTTATTCAAGCCTGACCAGAAAAAACAAAAGATCAATTCAGTCCCAACACCAGTTATTGTGGAACCAACCAAACTGAACTGTATTGTTACCAAATAGTTCTCTCCCTTCCTCCACCCTCCACAAAAATTACCTTTAGTTGCAATCTAATTATGAAGGATCAGGAATGACTAAAATATTCAACACAGCTTTAACATGCTGGTTTTCCGAAGGGTAGAAATATCCTTCCTAGTCCAAGCTAATTGATTTTTTTTCGTGTTTGAAAAATTGGGGTAATAGCAACAGATTTGCAAGAAATTCTGATTGGCATTGGTAAACTGAAGACATTGTGAAGGATTCCAGTATCACTCTTTTTTTTTTCATCATCTATTGATAAATGGGTTTAAAAGAGGCATCTTCTATTGTCAAGCACCCAGGAATATTTACTTTAAATCACCAAAGAACAACAAATTCAGGGCAAAAATGTCAATAGCTAAATGTAGTGATTCGCTCTCCCATGTTTGGTAAGATTTGTATTGTATGCGTAGTAATGAATTCTATTTTACTTTTGTCTATCTGTTTGGTTAGAATGAACTGATGAATTTTAAAAATCTGTAGACTGTTGATTTTGTTACTTATTTGCTATAGATGTGACCTTAGAGACTTTTTCCAAATAAAGCTGACCATGCCTATTTCTTGTGTGATATATTATGCTATAACACTGTCCATGAGAAAGATCTTTATGAGTACATCTTTAATTTTAAGCAAGATATATACTATAACTCAACAGTATTATAATATACACATATTTAAATATTTTAATTGCAAAATATTCTTTCCTTTTAAAAACTGTATTTTTACAAACTGTACTAAGTATAATTTTCAGAACTTAGTAAACTCCACAAAAATACATTTTAAATTATATTCAGCAACCTAGCAAGTCATACTGTATTACCTTGGTATTATCAAAGAACATAATGCTCCATGAGTCAGAATTTTTGGATGTCTACCCACAGAAGCAGCCTAAGTATTTAACTAAAATAATTTCTATTAGAAACTCTTAAAGATATACATATTCCAGCTCTCTAAAATAAAGTTAACCTTTCTTTGATAACACAGTGTCATCAGAATTCTTATATCTGAAAGGTGCTTCAGTGTGGTACATGACTCCATTTACCTATACAGGCAATTGCCCTCCATACTCAACTTTAATGTATTTCCTCCCTCCCTGAGAACCATCTCTTCTCAGTAGATTAGATGTACTCATGCCTTCTGATCTGTCCCATATTTTCCTCTAATCTTTTAGAATTTAATCAGAGGCTAGATTTAAGCCTTTCTCCTCAAAAGTACTGTTCTTGAATTTTACGACAGCTACCTCTTCGAAGGAGAGGTTTTTGCTCAATTCTAGATTTACAGCTGTGTTCAAGGAAGGGCTGGGCATGCAGAATGGCTGACCTTCCAGAAAGTTAAATGTTTATACATCAAATCATTTTAAATAATAAGAGACAATTTTCCCTTTTGCTCACTTGCCCCTTGTCCACTATGCTTATTTGCAAAACTTCCTATAAAAGATTGGCTGGAAGCTTGGGGTCCAATTTCACACTAATTCATAGCAACTCTATATCCATGTATTTAGTTATTCCCTATTTAGTTTCACAAAGGTTTTATAACTAAGCCCTATGATTAGCATATCTGAGTTTTCCTTTTACTTTGAAATGCATTTTGGCTTTCTCTTTCTATATTAATAAACTTTGGTTATGTACTTTCTAACCATAGTTTGAAATATGCAAGCTCAGCCAGGGCTTCATACATACATACAGTTTTTAATCCTCACGACAGCTTTCAAATTCATATTACTGTTCCCCATCTTACAAGTGAGTTATCAGAGACTCAGAAAGTTTAAACAAAACCCCTTAGTCCTACATTTAGAAGCCGTGGAGCAAGAATTCTTACCCAGGCCTTTCTGACCCAAAGCCCCTGGTTAGTTCTACAATAATACATAGCTTTTCACAATCAAAAAGCAAAATAGTCCATGGCCTGTACATGTTCTGGAAACCACCTAAAACAGGGGCCCACAGTTGGTATTCAACATAAAGACTGGAATCATCTAAGAAAAGGTTATATTTGATCCGATATACTTCTCCAAGACCTTGAAATTATAATAATGCTTAAGGAGTTTTCAGCCCAATATGGGTCTTTTTAAATCTTTCAAGTTTTTATATCATGATAGTACATAAATCTCAACTTCAGCTATCCGGAACAATGCACTCTTATGAGTTTAAGAAGTCACAGTCTTATAACTGGTACAGTTTTACTTTTAGCTGCTATTAAAATTACCCATGCCCTGTTCTAATGTTGTCTGTAGCCACAGTTAGAAACATAATTAGCCTCCTATATCTGTCAGGTGAACCCTGGACAGCACATTCTACTTAAGGGTATAGTATGTATTATGTTTGAGCAAATAGAGGTGATCACTATTATTCACTAACAACTTAATTTCATCGCACCTTTTATAGAAAAAAATAAATAAAACTTTCTTAATAGTAAACTATATTCTTACACCAGAAGTTCATTAACTTACTCCATAAAACATTAAAATATTCTTATATATTTCCCTCCACACATACTCCTGATATCTCTAAGAGAAACTGTACTTTGAACAACTGTTAAGCTTCATATCAATCAATTAAGTTATTACCCAATATTGAGGCAATCACAACAAGGGCTCAAAATAAACAGATTCTGGTTTTTAAAATGGAAATACATTTAACTATCATTTAACTAAATCAAATTAGCTCACATTCTAATAATAAAATTTTATTGTTTGAAATTTTATTATTTTATTATAATTCAAAACAAAAACATTGCTGTCAGGAAAGCCCATGGAACTCATTAATTTCAAGGTCACTGACCAGAAGAGCATGGAAATATAAGCTGGCTAGTACAAGTTTTCCAGTCTATGACAGCTACATTTTTACTCTGTCAATTACATGATAAATCTGTGTATGCCAAATCTGACAAGTCTTACCGTCAGCTTCTCTAAATTCTCATGTAATAAGCTTCCTTTTTCATGCTTTTCAAGTTCCATGTTGAAAGAGAATGAGAGACAGAGAAAGAGAAAAACAGAAAAAGAAAGACTCAGTCTTCTAGATTCCGTCTAGAAAATGAGTTGACGTGCTTACATGTTAGATGTTGCAGGATGTTCCAAGTTGTGAGAGCCCAGGACACTATCAGAAAGCCCTGGCGATAATTTCTGGTTAGCTAGTGTTTCCATTTATAGATGTTCAAACCCCATAAACAGAGCTCTGAAGAGAAGTCAGGCAGCTGGCCTCAGATAATGATAAATGTCACTAGATATAAAAGCAAACTCTTCAACAAGGAGACTATTCCAACAGGTTAGGTTCCCTGAACCAAGAAAGATATATGTGACAAAAAAAACACTGTCAAAGAATTCATTAATAGCCTTTGGAGCAGAATAAAATATACTGTAGAATATAGACCTAATAAATCAGTTTTAAAGGAACAAATGTGATAATCATATGGCAAATATGAATCAGCTAGTCTAATTCTTCCAAAATCCAATTTGTATCCTGGTAGTCCAGATATTTTTGCATTATTTTGTAGAGCTCAAAAATTTTTTAAGTTACTTTAAGGAAAAGAGCAAAGGATAACTAATTAAAACTGTTAAGAGACAGAACACATATATTCAAGGAATATTGTCAGTTGTAGTCCATGAAAAGTTGGCAAGTGATGTTTGCAAACACCATGAAATAAACGTGGTGTTTCCCTTCAGAAAAGCTGACTTCGTCCTTCATTAACCTGGCTTTTCTACTGGGAACAAAGTTATGAAATAAGGGATGAAATTTATTTTTCCCAGCGAAGTAAATGTTTTCAGAATTCTTTAGAAATTGTTACATCCCTTAAAGAAAATAAGTTGTGTAGCTCATTGGTAATGAGCTCTCCCTGGTTTTCTTGAGTTTTTTTTTTTTTTTTTTTTTTGGCAGCAAACCAGATATGTGAATGGTGAATGGAAATAAAAAGGTTCTCAGAGTAAGATAAAACTGATCTCTGTGGTGGTCTAATCCCTCAGCCTGTTTAAAGCATCCTTTTAAACACCTGTTTCTGACCTTAACTCAAATTTCCTATTAGTGTTTCCATCACTTCTTAAGAAAACATTTTAGAAAACACGTTGTGAGGCTCTGTCCTTTTGAGCAATTATAGCTGGTTCTCTGGTAGAGACAGGATTGCTCTAGAGCTTATTCTGCATCATGACGGAAAGCCGGGCATTTCAGAAGGGAAACATTTAAGTAGGAAATAAACCTAGCTAGCCCTGCTTCAGAATGATGAATGCAGGAACACTACATTAGACTCATGGGCAAAAGGGGCTTCCCTCTTTGGCTCATCAACTCCTTTTACAGAAAGGGATGCTAGCTGTTGCCCTAAAAAGTTTGAAAATTGAAGGCTTACAGGTTCATTATCATGCAAAATTGGTATGTGTCAAAAGCAAGCCAATAGTTGAAATTTTATGTGAACGGCAATTCCAAAATCTCTCTAGGAAAAAGAAAAGAACGCCTGCCATGGCTGCAAAAAGGAAATGGATTACTGCTAATTTAGTGCCTGAAGATGAAATTCAGGGTCCAGTCAGGAGTAGAGGACTGGTGGGTAATACAGCGAGTGGGGAAGAAGTTGAAGTGATAATGGGAAGGATGAAAAGTCTTAATTCAACAAACATATACTGAGTACCTATAATGGGTGAAGCTTTTCCTAGGTGCAGGCAGATTTTTTTAAAGAATAATAAAATTAAAAGATACAATCTCTACATTTCTTCCCTCAGCAAACTCCCAATGCAGGTATGACTGGATATAAGTAGGTAATAACACTCTATATAGCACAGGTCAGTAGCATTCAGCAGGTGCCAGGAACTGCTTTAAGGTGTTCATATGTTATTATCTCAATTAATTCTCAAAAGCACTCTAGAAGGTAGATAATACTATTTTCTCCACTGCTTTGGGCTGAATTGTGCTCCCCCAAAATTCATATTCGAAGTTCTAACCCCCCAGTATCTCAGAAGAAGACTGTATTTGGAGATAGGGTCTTTAAAGAGGTAATTAAGGCAACTTGAGGTCATTGGGGGGCCCTAATCCAATGTGCTAGTGTCTTTATAAGAAAAGGAAATTAGGATGAGATACACGCAGAGGGGAAGACCATGGGAACCCAGGGAGAAGGTGGCCACGTAAAAGCTATGGAGAGAAGCCCTCAGAGGAAACCAACCGTGCTGACACTTGCACTTGGACTTCCAGCCTTCAGAACTGTGAGGAAACAAATTTCTGCTGTTTAAGTTCATCTGTAGTATTTGTTACCACAGCCCTGGCAAATCAATATGCTCATTTTAGAGCTGAAAAAATAAAACACAAGGACACAATTAATAGATGGCACTCAAGTCCCCCAGCCCAAGCTCCTAACCGCTGTGCACTTTAGTACCTCTGAATAATCTCATAGACATAAGTGGGAGAGTGGGTAAATGGTGCCAGCACTCTACGCTGAATACTATCTACTCCATCCTGTCTACTTACAGACATACGCTGAAACGTATGTTGGAAAAGTTTCAGGGGCAGGAGCTTTTCGTCAGTAAAATTATGCCCATGCAAATGAGAGACTTCATCCACTTGCTGGCAAACAGAAGACTGGGCCACACTGGGATCCTTTCTGACAGTCAATCACAGCAAATATATTAACCTCCTCTGCAAGGAATGCTCACCCCCTAAAGAGTCACATGGCTCCCTCACTTCATCCAGGTCTTCCCCAATGACCTCGTCTGAAATAGTAAACCCTCTGTCCACTCCTTTGCTTTTTGCTTCTTCAGAGTTCTTCGTCTACCCCTATTTATTTGCAGTTTGTCTTTCCTACTAGAGTGTGAGCACCAGACGTTGCTTCACTCACTTTTTCTAGGCACTTAGAACATAGTAAGGACTAGCAAATTCTTGGGACAAAAAGAGGGCAAGAGGGAGAGGAAGGAAAGAGAAAGGGAGGGAAGGTAGGAAAGGAAGGACATGTATTCAATGGATGTGACTGAAGACATTTAATACATTATAACTTGTAAGAATTTTGATAGGACACTGAGGAATAAAATGCCTATTTATCTAGTACAAGTCATTCTACAGATGAATACAATATTGACTGTTCGGTGATCTTACTCAAACAATGAACTATTAGGGTAGAAGAAAAATAAATAGACCTACAAAGCAGGAAGAACTGGATTCGTCTGCAGATTCTGCCACAGTTCTGGTGGGTCACTTCGAGCAAATTAATTCTTAGTTTCAGTTCCCTTTCCCTTAAAAAAAGGATGACATCAACCTCTTAAGGTTATTACAAAAATTAAATGTGATGTGTTCAAAGTGTCCGGATCAAGCAGATTCTCAATAATAGTGTCATTATTTCCCTCGGCTTTGTGAAGTTATCTAGAAAAAAAGTGACTTCAAAGATAGAATCAGGAAGGCAGGATAGCACAGAGAAGACAAGTAGTGATTCTATAATACCACAGTGACTGCAATGGGGTATGTGGCGGGGACTTGATAATGGGGGGCATCTAGTAACCACAATGTTGCTCATGTAAGTGTATATTAATGATACGGAAATAAAAATAAATAAATAAATACTTTTTTTAAAAGATGGAATCAAAGTCCTAACAAATGTGCCACAAAAGTTAACAGAGGAAATGAGAGAAAATATTTGCAAATCATTTATCTTATAAGGTACTTGTACACAGAATATATGAACAATTCTTACAACTCAACAATGAGAAAGACAACTAACCCAATTAAAAATGGGCAAAGGATTGAATAGACATTTTTCCAAAAATGGCCAAGAAGCAGAAGGAAAGATGTTCAACAAAATTGTGATTAGGGACTGCAAATCAAAACCACAATGAGATAACACTTCACACCCACCAGAATGCCAAAAATTAAAATATTAAAAAAAAACAGACAATAATAACAAGGATTGAGAAGGATGTGGAAAAACCCCTACACATACCTGGTAGGATTATAAAGTAGAAAAACCACTTTTGACACCAGTGTGGCTGTTCCTCAAAATTTTATATGTAGAATTACTGTATGATCCAACAATTCCACTTCTAGGTATATACACATGAGACGTGAAACATATGTCCACACAAAAACTTGTATACAAATGTTCATGATAGCATTATTCATAATAGTCAAAGACTGGAAATATAAATGCCTATCAACACATGAATGGTGAAACAACTTGATATATCATAAATTGGCATATTATTCAGAAATAAAAATGAATGAAGTATTAATCCATACAATAGGGATGAACTGTGGAAACAGAATAAGGGAAAGAAACTGATCACAAAAAGCCACAGACTGTATGACCCATTTATATGAAATGTCCGGAATAGATATGCAAATCCACAGAAACAGAAAGATAATCGATAGTTGCCAGGAGTTGATGGGGAGGGCAGAAAGAGGAGTGATTTTTGATGGGAATGGGCTCTCTCTTTGGGATGAGGAAAATATTCTGAAATTAGATAATAATGATGACTGCATAACTCTGAACAAGGTAAAAACCACTGAATTGCGTGTACACTTTAAAAGAGTGAATGTTATGGTACATGAATTACATCTCAGCAAAGCTGTTATTTTTTAAAAACAGGAAGATCTGTAATTCCTTTGTAAGATGGAAGTGTATGATTTTTTTTTCCAGGAATATCTGAGCAACAGGTCACTCCAAACAGGAAATTAAAATCTACGCTACAGTAGGCAAGCAAGAATTCCACTTACAAGTGAAACAAATGACCCTCAGCAAATGTTATTTGCTCTGAGAGAGCCACCTCAATCCATTCCTTTGAATCATTACCAAATACCTTGTGCAAATGGTAAAATCTCAGCTCCTCAGATTTTGTGCCTATATTCAAAAACTGGGGGAAAGTGGAGTTTACAACTATTAAAATTACTTGTTTATCTACTGGGTCAGAGAGTTAAAAATAGTTGTTTCGTTTTGTTTGTAATAGGGGGTAATTACCCCACACCCGCCATTTAAAGAACTTTCATCTCTACCACAAAAGTACAGATAAACGCTCTACTGCTGAAACCTCAAATAAGGTAGACAGACACCCACAAGACAGGAAAAACAAAACTATTTTCTTTTGAAACAAAGATAGTCTGCAAAGCTTGGTGCAACCAACCAACTAAAGATTTTCCAC